AGAAAAAAATTAGGTTCTTAGAAAGTGAAAATAAAAACTTCAAACAAATGTTGAAAAATGAAGTCAAGAAAGTCTTCAAAAGTAGAGCAAAAGATAGGGAGATGAAAAATTGGTGAAAAAAATATGAACAAGAGGATCAGTCTAAGAGCACCAGTAGCTAACGCCTAACTTCAGAAAGAAAAGAAACAAGTGAGGGAAGGGAATTATCAAAGAATAAACCAAGAACCTTCCCAGAACCAAGGGACATAAATCTGCATATTGAAAGAGCCCACTGAGTGCTCAGCACAATGCATGACAATCATGACTTTCAGAATGCTAGGAATAAAAGATAGATCCTAACAACATACAGGGCTTCCCTGCTAGCTCAGATGGTAAAGAATCTGATTGCAGTGGGATTCCCTGGTGGCTCAGACAGTAAAGCATCTGCCTGCAATGCAGGAGACCCAGGTTCGATCCTCGGGTCGGGAAGATCCCCTGGAGAAGGGAATGGCAACCCACTTCAGTATCCCTGCCTAGAGAACTCCATGGACAGACCATGGGGTCACAAAGAGTTGGACACGACTGAGCGACTAGCACACACAACAGTATATAAAAAGAGAAAAGAAAGATTGCACACAAAGGACTGGGAGTCAGGAAAATCATAGACTTTGTAACTGAAAACTCGAGGACAAGGAGCTCTGCCACGACAACTCTGTGAGAACTCTACACATTCCCAACTCCTAACCAAGTGTGAGTGTAAACTAGAGATGTTTGTAGCTTGAAAGGACTCAAACTCTGTACCTCCTCTGTATCCATTCGCAGAAGCTTCCAGTGAATATACTTGAGCAAAGTGAGGGAATAAATCACATAGACAAAGAATACAGAATCTAGAAATCAGAAGAACTGAAGAAAAGGGAGTCCCAGATGATGGTTGAGGTCAGAAAAATGGAGGACTTAAAAAAGGGGGAATATTGCATTAAAAACTGAATTAACAGGGGATTGGAAATGCTTACGTATTTTGAAAGAAATAATGATAGCTATGTGAGAAATAAAAGAAATTAAGGGGACTATTTTAAATAGGCATTTAATTGTTTAGTTATAGTATTATTTTGATTGAAATATTTTTAGAGAATTGAACAGGGCATAGCTTTCTCACCATACCAGTCACCATTATATAATTCCATCTCTGTATCTAATACTATCTTAGGTCATCTCAGTTTCTGGTAAGGACTTGGAGCATTGAAGAATGGGTAGAACTTTACAAGGAGAAGAAATTTTTGTGTGAAAGTATGTTCAGGGAACATGACAGTCTTTTGTGGGTTTGGGTGCTACACCAACACTCTGATGCTTCAGGCTGGCCCCCAAACCATACTGCTGGCCCCATTTCAAATGGTCTCCAACCCCTGAAACTCCTTTCAGCCAGAGCCATGAATCCCACACATTTCCTGCCTTTCTCAGTGATCAAGACTTTGGACCTTGTTTTCCTATTGAAGATCTTGTCTTCCTCTACTTTGGACCTATCCTATTTCTTTTTTGTAAACTCTGAGCTTTGCTTCTCTCCTTGACTATGATTCACACCTATTGAGATGATGCTTGGCTGTGTGGAAAAGAACCAGCTACAGTGGTTTAATAAGGTAGAGGAAGACTGGGGAGGTAACAGACACTCCACCATGTCATTCACATGCCAGGTTCCCTCTCTCTTTCTTCACCATTAACCTCAGCAAGGTTATCCTCATGGCTTATCCTCAAGGTTTATCCTCATGGTTGCAAAGTGGCTGCTTCACCTGTAGCCTCCCATTTCTATCCCACACCCGAAGAAGGAAGGGACAAGGAGAAATTGTGGGCACCTATATAAGGAAAATCTCTGAAATTCTCAGGAGAGTTCTGCTTATGTCTAGTTGGTGTGAAGTATGTCACATGCCCACCTTTAATGCCAAGGAGGACTGGAAAATAGATTTTTTTATAGCTGGGCACATTGTTACACTTTAAAAAAATGAGTTATCTTAGAAAAGAAGAGGAGAAAAGAGATCAAGCAGGGAGTTAGCTGTCTTTGCCTCAAACTCTTTCAGATTGCTATAGATCAGTCAGCCAGTTCTTTGTGCCAGTCCTTTGTCAAAGGCCCTTGAAGCCAGTGACCCCTTCAGAGTGGCCCACGTGAGAAACTAGCCTCTTTATTAGACCCCTTCGGCATGGCCCCTTGAGTCAACTTGCATCTGTATAACCTGCTGCTCAATGAGGGAACGTAGAAGACACACACCTGGGCCAAAAGTGGACCCAAGAAGGGACTTCCCTGGTGGTCCAGTGGTTAAGAATCTACCTTCCAATACAGGGGACTCAGGTTGGATCCCTGGTTGGGGAACTAAGATGCCACAGTGCAACCACTTTTAATTAATTAAAATTTAAATTGACCTTTAATTTTTAAATTACTTAGTTTAAATTTTTAATTAATTAAATCAATTAATTTAATTAAATAATAGACCTAGGAAATACAAGGGGCTACTGCACGCCCTCCCAATATAGGCATGCCCCTGGAAGATGATTACCTTAGATTTTGTCCTGGACAAACCCCACTGTGGAGTATCAGAGCAGACCCCCACCACCACATTAACACACCCTGATTTTCTGTACAAGCCATGGGATGAAAGGACCCCCTAGCACACCAAGTACCGATAACCATCGATCACCGGGGGAGATCATCCAGCTAGGATACTGACTCCTTTCTCTCCCAGGCACATTTTTACCACCCAGGCCCTCAGTGACCCAGGTTCTGGCCCTTTCCAAGTCCTGAAATTATAAACCATATTGTCTTACAGCTCTAAGCCCCTCACCCTTCACCACCCTTTACTGTACCCAGCCTGACCTCATCCCATACTTTTACAGCCATCTTCAAGTTTCAACCTCAGTTCAGATCCAGATGGTTACTTCTGTGCCATGCTGCCGTGCTGTCACTTCAGTTGTGTCCAACTCTTTGTGACCCTGTGGACTGTAGCCTGCCAGTCTCCTCTGTCCATGGGGATTCTCCAGGCAAGAATACTGGAGTGGGTTGCCATGTCCTCCTCCAGGGGATCGTCCCACCCCAAGGATAGAACCCTTGTCTCTTATGCCTCCTGCATTGGCAGGCGGGTTCTTTAGCACTAGTGCCACCTGGGAAGCCCCTTGTTATTTGTACTTCTGACCAACTGACTATAAATCAGAGTCTCTCACAAGCCCCTCCTTAGGTTCAATTAGGATACAGGAAACCAGTTTACTCACTAATTGTCAGTTTATTGCAAAGGACATTAAAGGCTATGAATCAACAGCCAGCTGAAGATGTACACAGGGTAAGGTCCCAAAGGAGCTTCTGTCCTCCTGGAGTCTGGGACCCAGCACAGTGACACATGGGAGCATTCTGTTTCCCCAACTTAGACACTCTCTGAACCTCATCCTTTTGGTTCTTACAAAGGCTTTGTCACATAGGCATGGTTGGTTAAATCGCTGGCCACTGATGGCCATTAACCAATGGCCGGTCATTGGCTGTTAACCGCCAGCCTCTTCTCCCCTCCCTGGAATCAGAGACTGAAAGTTCCAAACCTCCATTCCAGGTTGGTTTCCTTGGCAAGCAGTCCCACTCTTTAGGGAATTTCTGAAAGTCACTTTGTTAACATAGCCCCAGCCCGTGGTAAGAAGGGGCTTGTTATGAATAAAAAGACACTAATTTCACCTTGATGGCTTTGAAGGGTTTTCAGGACTTGAAACCAAATATAATACAAGCTATTCATTCCCATTACTCTTATCTCTCAGGAAATTCCAAGGGTTGTGGGAGCTCTGAGCCAGGAACCCTGGACAAATACCACAAGAAATGTATATTTCTCATATATATATTTGGTCACCTGAATCACCAAATATATTTCTTATAAATCATAATGTATGCATACTAAGTCACTTCAGTTATGTTAGACTCTCTGCGACCCTATGGACTGCAGCCTGCCAGGGTCCTCTGTCCATGGGATTCTCTAGGCAAAAATACTTGAGTGGGTTGCCATGCCCTCCTCCAGGGGATCTTTCTGACCCAGGGACTGAACCCACATCTCTTAAGTCTACCTGCACTGGCAGACGGGTTCTTTACCACTAGTGCCACCAATATCTCAGGTCTATACAGGAAAATCAGTGAGAAATCTTGGTTTTAAGTTATATGAAATCAATTCCAACTGATTTCATTACAAAAAAATGTTATTGGCTCATATAATGGAAAGTCCAGGGTTGGTTCTAGCTACAGTTTCCCTTAGAGTCAGGGATTCAAATGATGCCATCTACTCCCACCTCCTGGAAGTCCTGCTTCTAGGTTGACTTTATTATTAGGCAGATTCTTTCCACACAGTGGCAAATAGGGCAGCACTAGCCAGGAGTTTACATTCTGCCTGTTTAATCTTAAGAAAGATCCTTTCTCTTCACATTCATTGGACCACCACAAGTTACACGTACACTCATTGACCAGTCACTGCCAGGGAGAAGTAATGCATGAATCGGCCAGGTCTGAGTTATATACCCACCCCTGGAGGGCAAGGGAGTGGAACCCCAAAGGAAACTCAATGTTCTGTTCCACCAAGAAGCTACAGTGGAGGCTTGGCAAGCACAAATATAAGAGATATCTGCTAAAGAAGGAGAGTCAATAATGTTATCAGAGCTGATGAACTAAAAGATCAGAATTTTTCTTTTGGATGGTTAATCTGGAACCTGGGTCCAGGATGAATTTGGGATTGTGGAAGTCTGAGGTTAGGAGGACTAGTTAGACGGCAACTAGAATGGTCCAGGTAAAGGATATGACAGTGGAATAGAAAAAGAAAGGACTAGTACAAGAAGTTATTACAGAAATTATTGTGATCACTCACATCAAGGAGATATAAGGAAAAGGTATTAGGTAAAAGGAAAGTTGCCCAGTTAATAAAATGTGGGAGAATGCCCTGCTCAGAATGCTAAGACCCAGTCCATCAGATGGAATTGTGATAGCCTACCCATCACTACTATGTTCTTCCTCCCCTCAGGTAAACTGCCAGTCTTAAAAATTACAGTCACTCCCCAGATCTCTTCAGACACCTTCAGATCTATCTGGAAAAACAGCAAGAAATCTAGTATTACTCATAAAAAGAAGAAAAAGGTATGCTTTTGGCTATCTATGCCTGTGAGTAGCATCCACCAGGGGGCACTGTATGGAGCCTGGGTACTCCGTTGGGGTCGATGGTGCCATGAGTAGCACATGGGCTTGATGAGAGCATGAGCATTTGCGTTCAAAGTCACACTCCCCTAGACCATCATTCTACTCTGATGGATGATGACTGTACCAAGGGACAAGCCGGAAGAGAGCAGCACAGTTCTCTCAAAGATTACTGCAAACTCTGCCGCCTCTCTTTGAACGCCCGCCCCCACACCCCCCCACACACCCCCCCGCCCCCCCGCACACACACACACATTCTGGTTCCCGTTAGCCTGCTGTTGGTCTGAAACAGAGAATTTATCTTAATTCTTTATGCAGCTGTGCTGTGTTGCCTCTTTTTGTTGTTGTTCAGTCAGCAAGTTGTGTCTGACTCTTTGTGACCCCATGGACTGCAGCATGCCAGGCTTCCCTGTCCTTAACCATCTCCCAGAGTTTGCTCAGATTCATGCCCATTGAGTCAGTGATGCCATCCAACCATCTCATCCTCTGTCACCCGCTCTCCTCCTGCCTTCAGTCTTTCCCAACATCAGGATCTTTTCCAGTGAGTTGGCTCTTCACATCAGATGGCCAAAGTATTGGGGCTTCAGCTTCAACATCAGTCCTTTCAACAAATATTCAGGGTTATTTCCTTTAGGATTGACTGGTTTGATCACCTTGCTGTCCAAGGGACTCTCAAGAGTCTTCTCCAGCACCACAGTTCAAAAGCACCAGTTCTTCAGTGTTCAGCATTCTGCCTCTTAGGGCGGGTAATGATTTACATATGCTTCCTTTCTACTGTATGAAGTTGAACTTCCTTTTTCTTTTTTTCTATTTATGATTTCCTGTTCATCTTTTCACAGGCTAAAAACTGAATATGAATACCATATATCCATATGGATTCTATTTCCATGGACAACTAGATGTGCCTGGAAAAATATTGCTTGTACTATAATAATATTTTTCACTGTAACCAAGCCCCTTTCAAGTTCTAAAATTTGATGACTCTTTTATGAAAGTTCAGACTAGTGTAAGTCTTATCATGCTTGTCATTTTCTAAAATGTGGGTTTCACAAACAGGTCTTGTTCTTCTCTGGGGCTCTTGTGCATTCTAATTTGAAGGAAGTCATGATCTTTATCTAGAAAATAAAAACTCTTCTTTTATAAATATATCTATGGTTGGGAACAACAGGAATTTGGGAAATAATAACCACTTTCTGAAAGATAACATCTCTAAAAATAGAGATCTTACCCCAAATGAGGAAACCTTCGCTTACTGCAACCTGTACCCTAAAGTTTCAGACAGCTCCATGGGAAATGGAAGAGGTGTCATGGATCAATATTTTGATGATAAATTGGATGTGTTAAACTGTACATGTTGCAGGGATAAAAAGCATAGATTGGGCAATTAATATGAAACCAGAATTCTCTGTGGAAACCTGCTGCTTTTCAGGTGACCTTGGGCAGGCCAGTTAACCTCACGGTGCCTCAGTTTCTCCTTACATAAGCTACAGATAAGAAGAGCACATATTCAATGGTGAGCATTGAATGATGTGACACATGTCAAGTATTTTAAGATAATACCTGTTTCATTGTACACTTTCAAAAATTAACATTAATGCCTGGTATTATTGCTGATGTTGGAATTGAGTGATTCCAGTTATTTCACTTACAACAGCTACACAGGAAAAATAGAAAAAAAATAGGCTTAAGATCTCTTCATTTAGCACTTAGAAACTGCCATTGATTCTATGTATAATGTAACAAGTGCTGGTATGTTCCGGGCAAAAAACTAATTGTGGAGGTGAGGATGGTTATGGTAAATTATGTCCTCTCTTGAGGATCTTAGCACCTAGCAAGGAAGTCAAGATCCTCATACATTAAAAGCAAACATTAGGGCATGAGTTGAAATAGTCAGGGTAAGCAAACCTATGGAATAGTGACATCAACTCAACAAATCTCCAGAACTTATATATCCAATGTGTAAGATGGGTGAGGCTTCCTGATAAATTGTTTCTGCTCAAAAAAAAATAGAACGTTTTAAAGATTTTCCACTGACATCCACTGGATGGGAGTGTAAAATCTGTGTGTTCATTTCGGTATATTTTGACAATGTCTATCAAAATGAAAAAAAAAACCATAGCCTTGACTTAGGCATCATAAGTATTTCCTTGCATGTGTCTGGAAGTATATCTATCTATCTATCTAGACATATATATAATATAATATAATATATATTATAACATATAGATAGATATACTCCCAGACACTTACAAGGAAATACATATTAAGATGTTCACAGCAGCACTATTAGTTATACATTGGAAACAACTAAATGTCTCTCAACTGGTTCTCAGAGACATAAATCACAGGAAATGTATATAGTGGAATACTGTGCAGTCATTAGGAAGAACAGCGTGGATATGGAAGTGCTTATCTGGAGAGATGCACTAGTCATATTCTTAAACAAAAAAAGCAGCCTGGAGAATAGTGAATGTGAAAATTTCACATTAAAATGAACTGATATAATATGAGGTGGCAACTTCATCTCTGGGTTTATATATCCAAAAAAATTGAAAGCAAGATCATGAAGGGATGATTGTACACCTATGTTCATAAAGTATTATTCATAATAATCAATGATAGAAGCAACCCATGTATCCACTGATGGATGAATAGATAAGCAAAATGTGGTAAATACATACAATGGAATAGTATTCAGTTTTAAAAAGGAAGGAAATTCTGACACATGCTACAGCATGGATGAGCCTGGAAGACTTTTTGCTGCGTAAACCAGTTACAAAAAGACAAATACTGTATAATTCCAATTATGTGAAGTACCTAGGTTACTCAAACTCAGAAACAGAAAGGAAAATGGTGGGTGCCAGAGGGACAAGGGGGAAATGCAGAGTTGTTTAATGGGTATGGAATACAGTTTCAGTTTGGGAAGATGAAAAAGTTCTAGAGATTGGTTGATAACAATGTGAATGTACTTAATGCTACTGAACTATATACACTTAAAAATGGTTAGGATGGGGGTTTCCCTGGTGGTTCAGGGGAGAAAGAGTCCACCCGCCAATGAAAGAGACATTGGTTCCATTCCTGATCCAGGAAGATCCCACATGCCGTGGAGCAACTAAGCCCATGCACCACAACTGCTGAACCTATGTTCTAGAGTCCTGAAGCCCTTGCGCCCTAGAGTCTGTGCTCCACAGCAAGAGAAGCCACTGCAATGAGAAGCCCATGCACTGCAACTAGAATAGCCCCCGCCTGCAATGAAGACCCAGCACAGCCAAAAATAAATAAATAAATAAATTTAAAATTTTTAGAATGGTAAACTCTGTGTTATATGTATTTTACCACAATTTAAGTTTTTAAATGTGTTGATGTGTTACATGTCTGCTAGTATATATGTAGCAATTTCTGAAGAGTCTATTAACAGTACTTGCTTTTTTCCCATTGCGTACTCAATTTACTATTTTAAGGTTTTTACCATTTATGAGCTGTCAATTAAAAAAAAAAAACCTTGCAACTGTTTGATGAACATCAGTAACAGCACTTTTGGGTTGTTATATGACCTGGTGCCAAAAGAGAGGAAGAAACACAATAAGTGCCACGTGTCATGATTTTTCTGGGAGGAATGAATAGTGGCAAAGAATGGTCACTAAGGACAACAAGATGAGTGAGTTTTTCCTCAGTGCAGAAGCAATGTAGCTGGAGCAGGTAGAGAGAAGTTCTGACCAATTTCAGAGATGTTAAAATGTGAGAGGGGGGGAAAAAGACAGTCCTCAGTGTGTTTGGATGCCTGAGCTAACCTGATGAGGGTCTCAGTGAGGAGTGCTTAGGAAATGACACTGGAAAAGTGGATTGGCACTATATTGTGGCAGGATTTAAAGGACCAACTGGCACATTTAGATTTTGCTGTAATGATAATGCAGAGCCGTGGAACATTTTGAGCAGGAGAGTGCTGGGTGGAAAAGGAGTATAGGAAAATTAAACAGGCATTTTAGATTGAATGCTAGAGTGGGGAGCAGAGATAGGAAGGAAGTCAGGACACAATAATCCAGGGGCAGGGAGGTGAGGTTCAGACTCAACACCAACAGGTACCACTCCTTCTTAATTATCCTCTGGCCTTTCATCTAAGGTCCCTCTTTTTCTCTTTCAAACTGCCCAGTTCACACCAAGTGGGGCATTTTTATCCTCTTCTGGTTCCAGTCTTCTTTTTTTTAAATTAATTATCTAACATTTTAGTCATTTACAGTCAGATATGCAATAGCTTAATGTGAATGAAACATGTTCTGGATGGTTCATCTGGGTTTGTTTACAGACATTTTTGTCTGGCTCCTGAAGTTACTGTGGTCAGATTTATACCTGCTACCACTACTACTGCTCTGTCCGTTTGCTTTCTCCATTTACTTCCTGGCCTCCAAGGCCTCCCATCTCCCCCCCGCCAGTTCAAACTTTACCTCTTCTATGAGGTTTTCCCTCACTCCATCTGTCTTGAGGAAGGTTTCTGTTTCTTACAGCACTTAATGCACCACTCAACAAACAGCACATATTACCATCTGGCCAAACGTGTCCCTGTGTCCATAATTGTATTCTTACACATTTTATGCATCCTTGTCTCCTCTGCCAGATTTCTGGAGTTTGGTTAGCCTAGACCCAGGGGCACAAGGCCTGACACCAGGAAATGAGGGAATGATGAGGCCCAATAGAGGTGGGAAGATCTGAGTCCTAATCCTGACACAGCAGGTGTCCACCACTAGGTGGTAGTGGTGACCAAGCATCTTCCGGTCTCTGTGCCTCAGGGTTGGTATTTTTTAAATGGAGATGTTTGTTATCTGCTTTGCTTGAGAAAACATAACATGACCCTGGGCTAGTAATAGAAGAACTCTGGTTTCCACTGTCACCTTCTCAGAATAGCAGAATTACTTTTCTAAATTACTATAAATTACTTTTTATAATTTTTATAATTATTTATTATAAATTTATTTTAATTAATTTAATATTAAATATTAATAATTTGTTTTAATTGATTTATTATATTATTTATAATATTTTAATAAATATAGCAGAATTACTATAAATTACATTTGGGGACTTCATATTCCTACATATAAAAAATTAAACTAGATTTAAGTTTCTTAGAGTGTGGTCTCCAGGGTTCCTGGAATCCTTTCAGGGGACCAACAAGGTCAAAACTATTTACATACCAGTATTCATAGCTATGAGATTCCCCGGTAGCTCTTCTGGTAAACAGTCCGCCTGCAATGCAGGAAACCCCGGTTCGAATCCTGGGTTGGGAAGATCCCCTGGAGAAGGGAATGGCTACCCACTCCAGTATTCTTGCCTGGAGAATCCTATGGACAGAGAAGCTTGGCGGGCTACAGTCCATGGTATCTGCAGAGTCGGACACGGCTGAGCACAGCACAGCAGTCATAGCTATTTCTCTTCATTCTCTCTTGTGAGTGTCCAATATTGGCATTCTAAGGATAACTTGTAGTGGATTTCTTACTGTTTCGAAATGAATTATTTTTTTCCCGTTTTCTTAAAAAGGTAATACATATGTATATGTACACATATAAGCGTGTATATGTACACATCCATCCTACACAAACAAAAGTTCTTAAATGTCCTTAAGTAATTTTTAAGTGTAAAGGGGTCCCGAGACCAAAAAATTTGAGAACCGTTGAACCAGATTCCTAGCTCTTCATTCATTCACTCAACAAACAACTGTTCCTCCCGAGGCTACATTTCTTAACGAAGGCGATGATCAAGAAATAGTCCCCGCTCCCAGGGCGTTTACATTTGAGAAGGACGACAAACGAATATATCAACAAGACAGCTTCTAAAAGCGGTGTCATAAAAAATAAAATAAAATAAAATAAAAGCGGTGTCATGAAGACATAAAACAGGACACGTGTTTTCTGCGCAGTGGAACCCTCCACCGCGCAGGGTCGGCCCGGGGTCTCTCAGCCCGCTGAGCTGGGCGTTGGGTACGTGAGTACCGGGAACCAGGACTTCGGGAAGCCGCTGGTGCCGGCGTATGGTGACGTCACTGGGCCGCGCCAGCCAATCGCGGGCGCCCCCCGTCCTAGACCCCCGCGGCGGCCCGCGGCCTGCGGGCGGCGCTGTGGCCCGTCGGGCGGCCCCACGGAGCCGCCATAGCCGCCCGCCTCCCACGACCTAACGTCTCCGCCGCCGGCTCCGCGCCGCCGCTATGGCCGACGTGGAAGACGGTGAGGAACCCTGCGCCCTGTCGTCTCACTCGGGGAGCTCAGGATCCAAGTCGGGCGGCGACAAAATGTTCTCTCTCAAGAAGTGGAACGCTGTGGCCATGTGGAGCTGGGACGTGGAGTGCGATACGTGCGCCATCTGCAGGGTCCAGGTGATGGGTAAGCGCAGCACGCGAGGCCCCGGCTGTGCTGCGGCCTCCGCAGGCCCGGCTCCGGGCGTGGGGGGAAGGACCAAGCCTCTGAGAGACCGTTCCAGGAGGAGTGGGGGCGGGATCGCCCTGCCCTGGCGCCGGGAGACCGCGGGCCACGCCCGAGCTGCTGGTGATCCGAGGGCTGCGGCCGCTGCCAGGGCCCGAGGGGTCGTTCAGCAGGCGACCTGTGCCGGGGACGGGTATTCTGGGAGAAAAGGGGATAGCAGGAAGGACAATTAAACAAGGTCATTTCCAGTAGTGATTGGTGTGATCACGACAATAAAAGCAGGTGATTTAATGGGAGTTGGGAGGAACCACTTCGGTTTGTGTGGCCAGCGACGGCACCCTTTGCCGAAAACAAACCACACAGACGTCAAGGTCACGGCCCTGAGTCAGCGGATCAGTCTGATGCTTCTGGTCACACACCAAAGTGATGCTCCGGACTCATCTTCCACAAAAACGACCACTAGTCGTGCTCTGGAGAGGCGCAGGGAAGAAGAGTGTTCCTAGCCGTCCCCTTTCTGGATTGGCTACTGTTCTGCTGGCTTTTAAACCTGGATGATTCAGGATTGGTCAGATAGCAGTCGGTTGGCTTGACTAGAAGAATGTAAACCCTTTTATTCAGAGGCATGAAGCTTCATCTCTCCTGGCCACACTCCCCATCCTAGCATGCCATCTCTTGGAGAAGGGTAGTACCCTCAAATCCGGCCTTTATGGAAAGCCCTCTTTTGCAAACTTGTTACTTCTTTCTATGATATTTTTAATAAAAATATCGGACCAAGTGAAACCTTTCAGAACAGCTTCATCTCGTTGTGTTTTATATGGTCTCTGTTTTAAGCTCTTAGACGACCTTAAAAAAGAGTTGCTGTTTAAATGCACGTTATATTTTTAAATATAAGAGCGCCTTAAATGTCATTTCTTGAAGGTAGTTGGAGAAAACTGAGGCTTCTGTAGTTTGAAAACTTTGTGTCTTGCACTGAAAAATGAGACAGTTGGAGAAAATAAAAGTTGCTTTCCCTTCTTGAGCATTGAAAATTCAGACCTACCAGAAACAAGAGGTTTCTCAATTTACTCTCTCTGTAGTATGCGCTTATGTTTTTCATTCGTAGGAATTTGTTTTAAAGAGAATTTGCAACTATGGGATTCAAATATTTTTTTACTTTTTAAAAAAACTAGATTTCAGATGTGATCCACTTATTTTGTGTATCGGGTTTTTAGGTACTTAGTTTATGGGCCTGCAATACAGCCCCCTTGCCCTAACCCTTTCTTGAAAGCAAGAATCATAACTTCCAGTTTGAGGGATTTTTGTTCTTTTTTAGTTTAAAAAATTTTTCCTAAAAGAGCATTTTATTTTCTCCCCAAAGAAAAATTTTAAATTAGTAGGTAGAAATGCAAAATATAAAATAATAGTTGAAAGTTTGCAAGAAATAAACTTTACTGGGCTATTTAAGGTAAGTCAAAGTATGGGCTATAAATGACTCACTGCTCACATTAACTTTCTAATTATAGCAAGTATTTGGCTACTGTGGATTAATGTTGCAGATTTACAACAGCTGTACTTTGGGTTCAGGAAAGTATTCTGGGCTAGACCTCTGTATTTTGTTTATGAGGTGTTAAAATCCATTTAGTGGTCAGGTGACATCAGAAGGAAGTTTGTTTTCTAGCATCATTCTAAAAGGTGTTACTGTACTCCTTAGAAGTGCGCTGTTTTAGATAGTAAGAACATCATCAAAAGAAAATGTTTTATCTGAAACTTTAGGAATTTTTATCTCTTCAGGTCAGTTATTGATAGTGAATCTAAATCAAAGCTGTAGGCATGATTCAGAGACTTCTAGATTCTATAACTTAATCCTGTGTCCTTGATATTTGAATTCATCTCATACACCTAAATGATTTGTTACAACTTCTTGATCTAAGAGTTTCCAGTCAGCCCATTCTAATGTAGTTAACACACTCTTCCTTGGTTTCCACTCTGCCTACTGTATTGTGAAAGGAGCAGCTAGCAAGCACCGGTGAGGAAGAGGGGACTAGCTTTGTTGTACTGTCGAGGGTTAAAGAAGCCAGAGTAACCTTCCACAGCTATCTGTTAACTTGGACGTTTGACATAACCTTCTGGAGCCTTGTTTTCCTAATTTGTAAAAGAGACTATTGGGATCATGAACTCTAATTCCGTGACTGCACAGAACCAGAGGCGTGTCTTCCCCCTTATATCATGATCCTTGAGATATTTAGTTGTTTACCTATCCACTTTCCCATTTACTGGTGAGACTAGGGACCCAGACTCCGTCATTTTGGTGGCCCCCAGGCATTACTCTTTGCACAGGGTAGATACTCAGTAACTGTGAAATTGAAGAAAGCCTCAGGAGGCAGTGGTTGTTTTTAATCCACACTGTAGAGGCCAGGGTGGTGTGTTTTTGTAAGGGTAGGAGCATGCAGAGAGGAGCAAACAAATGCCTGAGCATAATCCAGTGTAAGAAAAGAAGCAGGCTTCAACTCTATCCTGTTTCTATTTTTATAGAATTTTTCTCTAATTCATATTAAAATCTATTTTTTTTCCTGTTAATTTGAACTTACTTTCACCCAACTTTGCCTGCTTTCAGCTAGTGAATGAGTCCATTTCTTTGGTTCCTAAAATATTCTATATTACCTTCTTCACCAAACAAATGGTAGTACAGACTGAATTTTGAAAACTTCTAGTATATCCTTTTGGTTCCCATTCCTCATGTTAACTCCCAGGTAATTTATTAAAATACTTTACCGTTGTTGGGTAAATGCTTTGGGCTCAGATTATTTGTAAAGGGAGCATTTCCTTAAAAAGAAAAAATAAGAGAGAGAACCTAATATTTATGATTTTTTATTTTATTTTTTTTTTGGATATTTTGAATTTAATTTTTATGTAGGTTATACAGTCACAACTTCAAAACTTGAGAAAGTATGCAGTGAAAAACCCCTTCCCATTCCATCTCCTCCCAGGTGAACTTTATTATTAGTTTCTTGAATATCCTTCTGGAGTTTCTATATATATTTAAGCAAATACCAATATATATGTATGGCTTATTTAAAAGGATGTCTTGAAAATAAACTATGCATAAAATTGATCTGTGTGCATGTGCCCGGTGAGTAATATAGTGGAATATAGCATATTTTTCTCTAGTGGTTGCATCCACTGTCAGGGCATCTTTTCATCAGCACTTGTAAAAATAAAGGGTTAGTAACCCTTGGGAAATTGCTCCTGGTCATAAGTAAATTCGTAGAGTGCCTTGTACTTTATTCATCTTTAAGCAGTTATGTTCAGATGAGAAATTAATAATATGAGTCTTTTAATCTACATCTCTAACCCTTTGGGCCTTTTATTTGACTTTGAAGTGTATGGGGTTTTAAAAATTGCATTCTGAGCATCAGAATGAGAATTGCTATTTGTTTACTTTTAGATGCCTGTCTTAGATGTCAAGCTGAAAACAAACAAGAGGATTGTGTTGGTATGTTGTAATTTTGTTCTGCTTTTTTAACTGAAGGTTTTCTCTCAGTGGGGATGTTTGAATTTGCAATTAAGATTGGCTTTATCAATACACAAAAATAAACTGTAAAGCAGTGATTCATAATTAATATAAAATGTGTTGGTTCTCAAAGGGTCTTAATGGGATTATCTGTAAGTCCTTTAATTGCTTGTAATTCAGAAGACTTGGTTATATATTATAGACATGGGCATGGTAAACGTTTTAATCAAAAAAGAAATATATTTTCTTCTATTAAAAAAAATATAAAATAAGGAATTTGCCAAAACATCCTTTAAATTTTGAGTATGTTACAGGTTAGTTTTGGTCAGTCAGGATTTTGTTCTAACAAAGCATTTCAGTTTTCAGTACTCTTATGATCCAGTATTTAACTTTTCTACTAAGGTGAAAATAATTCTAAATCTCCAGATTCCTTTGGATGTAGTTTATTGATAGAAATCTGTTAAATTTTACTTACATGTGGTACTACAATAGTTATCTTAGGGGGGAAAAAAAGTTGTCTTAGGTTAATTATTGTAAGCAACTCAGATTTTTATGCCCTAGCTCTTGAGGTCATCACTTCTAAGATTGCTATATAAAAGTGTATAAAGATTTTCCTGGAATGAAAGGTTAACTTTGTACTTTTGTTTGTGTGGTTTACATACAGCTTCTGAATGACTCATGTAGTTTTAATCAAATCCTGTTTCTTTCTTCTGAAAGACTTAGAATGAGTCCTCCTAGCTTCCAACCCCTACAACTAATTTTCATTAAAAGGTTTTTTTTACTTCTTTGATTGTTCTGTTATATAGCTAAGTTGGTCAAGCAAGGGACAAATGAAGCCCATGTTTGAGGTTGTATCCCATGTTATGGGTGATTTCCCTTGATTTAAATTTTTTCTTTGAGGCTGTTTTAAAATATTAATTTGAGAATTGTGAGGGGTAGGCCAGCTATCTTTGATCACAGAGAGGCCCTTCTTTTCTTGAAATAGACCTCTCTTTCAAAGCCAACCACTTTGAAAATTCCATTCTGTTTGTCACATGAGGAACTGCACTGCCTATGAATGACTTAACACAAATCATCACCACTTCCAGAAACAGTTCAGAGGTACCACTAATAATGTTTAGAAGCATGCCACCTATTTATAGTAGCCTGCTATGAGCCGAAAACATTTAAAACTCAACATATCTTGGTAGATAAAACTCAGAAGGGGACTTCCCTGGTGACTCAGTGGTAAGAAATCCCCCTGCCAGTGCAGAAGACAGTGTCTGATCCCTGGTCCGGCAGGATCCCGCATGCTGTGTAACTAAGCCCACGTGCCACAAGCTACTGAGCCTGTGCTCTGGAGCCCAGGAACCGCAGATACTGAAGCCTGAACGCCTAGAGCCCGTGCTCTGTAACAAGAGAAACCATGGCAATGAGAAGCCCATGCATCATAACTATAGAGTAGCCTTGGCTTGCCACGATTAGAGAAAAAGCCCAAGCAGCAACAAAGACCAGCACAACCAAAAATAAAGAAAGAAAATTTAAAAATCAGGAGGACGTTTTTCAATAAACTAACTTAAAGGCCCAAAATGTCTCCAAGGTCAATGCATGGGTGGAGTGGTTTGGTATCTAAGGAAGACTCATCTTTTAGGGCTTCCCTGGTGGTGCTAGTAAAGAACCTGCCTGCCAGTGCAGGAGGCACAGGAGATGTGGGTTCCATCCCTGAGTCTGAAAGATCCCTTGGATAAGGGCCTGGAAATCCACTCCAGTATTCTTGCCTGGAGAATCCCATGGACAGAGGAGCCTGGCAGGCTACAGTCCATAGGGTTACAAGGAGTCAAATACAAGTGAACCGACTTAGTACACACACAGGTCTTCTAATCTCCCAGCGTGAGAAAGACAGCATGTGGAGCTGTGTAGGAGTGAGAAGCCACCACTGCAGCCTCCGATTCTAACAGTGATGTCAGGTTTCCAAGCGTGGTGCCTTCCCTCATTTTTTTTCATTTGGCTGCACTGGGTCTTAGTTGTGGCATGCGGAATCTAATTCCCTGATCAGGGATTGAACCCCAGGCCCCCTATATTGGGAGCACAGAGTTTTAGCCACTGGACCACCAGGGAAGTCCCCTTACCTCATTTTTAAAGTGTAATTTCTCTATGTAAGGTTCTTTTGCTTTATGACTAAAAAAAGTTATTTTGGCCAGTTAACCATCTTTAAGATTATGAACCATAATTATTACATAATAAAGTAGAATTTTGAGCTCAGTAAGTTAAATTGAAGTATGTAATGTCAGATATTCTTTTTTTTTTTTTCTCCCAGTTGTCTGGGGAGAATGTAATCATTCCTTCCACAACTGCTGCATGTCCTTGTGGGTGAAACAGAACAATCGCTGCCCTCTCTGCCAGCAGGACTGGGTGGTCCAGAGAATCGGGAAGTGAGAGCAAACGAAGGTGTTCTTCATGCAGTCAGTTGTTCGGAGCCTTGGTATATCTTGTTATCAATTGCTCTACAGAGGCTAGAACTCTCCAGGGGACTAATTCTTCGAATAGGAGATGGATCTGTGGTCTTTTGGGACTCATCAAAGGCATGGTTTAGCCTTTTTCAGTTTTATTTTCAGAAATTCTCTACAATTAAGATAATTTATTAAGGATGGTCTTTCCTACCTCTGGTATGTGTCTCACACACTGCTTAGAAGTGCTATAAAGGAGAGGACTATACATTAAACAACCTTCATAATTTACTTACCGATATCCAAGGAGTTATTGAAGCGGTTCCGTTCAGAAGAGAATTTTTTGCATGCTTATGGTTGATCAGTTTTTTAAAAAGACAATGTTATAGTAACAAATAAAGTACAGTTTAAAACCCAGTTCTTATCCTTAATGTGTTCCTAATATTTATTTTGGCAGGGGGGAGGATAATTAATTAAATTTTTATTTGATATAATTTTAAGTTTGGACCAGCGAATAGGGTAAATAAAATTTAACCTTTGGGTGTATGGGATTTCAGGTGTCTTTATAATCCTCTCTCTGACTCATCGAGAAAACCTAGATCTGTACTCACCTAGTGAGTGATAAAGGACAGAAGTTTTTTCAGCTTCTGGTTGTATTGTGTTATAATTTAACTGTGTTTTAGGTGGAATGTTAACAAGGGGAAAATGTTTACCATTGTCACATTGGGTCACAAAGTTAATTTTACCACATGATGTTTTAATAAATGGTTTATTATGTTTACCTCATTTGAATTGTCATTCTTGCAAGTTTATGCTCAACTTTCAACTTAAACTAATTTAGCAAGTGAATGCTTTTGTTTAATTTGAAAAAATATTCATTTGCTCTTTCTTTGGTAATAATAAAATTTTATTAATAACTTTATTACCTGCAAACATAAGTGTAAGAAAATACTTAAATTTTATCAAGTCAATTCACATTCAATGGAAATATCTTAGGATAATTTAGGAACCACAAGTTCATTTTGAATTTTCCTAACATAGGCTATTGCTATGCATTTAGAAAACTAAAATCTTGAAACCTTAACCATTCACTTCTGCAGTTGTGGAGTTTGCCAGTCTGAATCTTTTTGAATCTAAGCAAGGTAGATACATAAAAGAATATTAAAAGTAAAATAATTAAAATAAAAATTAGAATTCTGTATGCTTTCAAGTTACCTACTATTAGATTTCTTGTAAATTTTGCTTTATTATTCTTTTCACAATTAGCTACTGAAAGAGTTATAGTATACAATTATGTTTGGATTTTTTAAATGTTTGGACCATTTGAATGTGTTTCTTGTTGTGCAGTAAGCTATTTTAGCCTCTCTTTGACCTTCTTAAAAGGTGGTGTCTATAAAATGTGAACCAAATATTTGGCTTTGCAGTAAAGAGAGAAATAGTAAGAATGTTGAGTTATTTCAGTCTGTAGGACAGTATGTAAAGGAAATCCGGAGAATGGTGGTAATAAGTTGATTTTCCACACAGCAAAACCACGGGCCCACCTCCTAACAAAGCTCTGTTTCTATTACACATCAGCATCTGAGGGTAGAAGAGGAGAAGGGACTGGGACAATACAGCCCTGATCCTGCCCATCTGGGGTGATATCAGCTCATCTGCATAGCCATCTAAAAGTTGAATATACGTTGTTTCATCAGAAAGACACACTGTGACATGAGTTCTAGTGCAAAAGTTAAGCATTGAACAGGTTTTTCCTTCCATTTGGTTAAACAATGTTGAATTTTACCTCACTAGTGTATTGGAAACACATCTTGGGCTATTTAATTTTCTATCTCTGCAAGTTGTATTCTTGTATTACAGCTGACATCTAAGTAGATATCATCCTACCAAGCCCATTACTTGCTTTTTAATAAAATACGTTCTCTTTACTGTCCTGCAGTAAAATAACATAAATGTCTCCACACATAATTAAAATGTATATAGTAATAATTGAATTGTAATATAAAGTAGAAATGAAAGTATAATTCATTTCTTTTTCAGTATGTAAATTCTTAAACACAATTATACCAGAAGGCATAATGAAGTGGGCTGATGAGTGTGTGTCTCTGTGTGTGTGTGTAATCACTGCAGGAAGACAGCAACAATGTAGACTGCTGTGACTCAGAAACGTGAGGAGCTTTTCCATTGATAAGACGTTTTCCTCCTAAAATGGTGGATTGTGCTAGTAAAGTTCTGAACAAAACAAATGTAGTCTTGATTTACATTTTAATTGCATATTTGGTAACTTCAATGGATTTTAAAGCTAGGCAGAACTGTGCTTTGTGTTTACATGTACAAAGAAATTAGATTCTAGCCACAGATAATCATAGATTTTTCTACTACATGAGTGGACATTTGACAGTCATGTAGGATGTTGAACTATGTTTCTTCCTATGAGACTACATGTTACAAGATATCACACTTCCCTGGCTTCCACTCACCAAACACCAGTGGTGCCATTGATCCTTGTGCCATCCAAAGAAAACATTTCCAAAGCATCCCCTTTAGAGGTAGCATTAGCTGTTTGGAGGGCTGGTTTCAGTGCTTGTACTGATGTATTGCGATGTATTCTTTGCTGCTACTATTTCAGAGAAACATGCTAATATGACACAGAAAATACATTGTTTTAAATATATAGGGTTCAGAATCTTGAATAACTGCTATTCTAAAGAGTTCATAGAGCCAAATTTTACTGATCCATGCCCTGTTCTCTAAAGGTATGAATCACTATTAAATTAGTGTGCAATACCTGGGATACACGTGATGGTGAATATTCACTTTAGGCTTAAAGAATAAGCCTTAAATTATTTAAATGAAGCTAATATAGAAAGCTCTTAGGATCAGAAAAAAGTGTCTTAAGTGTTCCTTTAGAAGTTTAGTAGACATCTGATAAGAAAGGAAATATTAAAACAATGCTTTGTTGCTTTTCAGAATATTGCCAAGGGCTATCTTTGAGTAACGCTCTGAAAAGAAAGAAAAATTCCATGTTTACTTTAGTGAGTCCTTATTTTTAAAAATATTACTGATTTGGATGTAAGGAAAATTAGAATTAAATACAAATAAATGTAAGATTTCTATATTGGATGTTTGAATGGTGTAACAAAATACATGAGAAATGCTTACATGATGGTTCTTCCATAGCCATCTTTATGTCATTACATTTCTACCATGGTCAGGTTTTGTTCAACAAAAATATGTCTTACAGGAAAAGTCTTTTCTCTACATTTTGATATTGAGTTTTAAGCCTGAGAGCTGAAACTCCAGTGCCAGAATACCTGGATTTGCATCCCAGTGCCAACATTTTCTTGTGTGACCTTGAACAAGTTACTTCTCCCTTTACTTAAGCTTCCTCATGTATAATGTAGATAACAATAACAATACCTCCCTTACCAGATCGTTTTGAGGACCAAATATTTTAATACAAATGTAAAACTGAAAACAGCTTCTAGTGCATGGTAAGTGCTACTGTTTACTTCATTTTAGTGATTTCTGGAAGATGCTTTAACAGAAGTGGAGCTTTAAAAAATAATGTGCTTTTAGTTATGGGGTAAAACATTCCTAACTGTTCTGAATAAAAGTATTGTGAGGAAAAATTGTTATAAACAGATTTCTTGTAGCGCTGTGAGCTTTTGTGGAGGATGGTAATGAGACCTTCATGACTTGCCTGTTACATTTTTTTCTAATTCACGTCAACAAGATTTCTAGATTTTATATTAAGAAAAGGTTTTATAAATGTTGAGCTCTCTTTAATTTTAGGTTTCCCATCTCAGTAGAAATATTTCATCAGACCTTGCAGATATGAATATAGCAGTACATTTAAAATTTTTATTGAAGTTGATTTACAGTTGATTTACAGTGTTGCGTTAATTTCTGCTGTACAGCAAAGTGATTCAGTTTTCTGTATGAACGTAGTAGTCACTCAGCGACTACTGAGTGTTGCAAAGTGTCGGTCTCTTTGCAACCCCATGGACTGTAGCCCACTGGGCACCGCTGTCCTTGGAATTCTCCAGGCAAAAATAATGGAATGGGTTGCCATTCCCCTCTCCAGGGGTTATTCCCAACCCAGGGATCAAACCCAGGTCTCCTGCATTGCAGACAGATTCTTTACCTCTGAGCCACCAGAGAAGCCCATATAAAGTTCCCTGTGACACATAGGACCTTGTTGTTTATCCATTCTATGTTTAATAGTTTGCATCTGCTAATCCCAAACTCCTAATTCATCCCTCCCTCCCCACACCTCCCCCTTGGCAACCACAAATCTGTTCTCTGTTATCAAGCAGTACATTTTTTGACCACTTGATTTGGGGCATATCAACATATTTAGGAAAAACCATCTTTTTTGATTGCTCTCGGTTTTCATCTTCCTAGATTTTCTAGGAATAAGCTTTACGATCAATCTGATACTTTCTCTTGCCCATGCACTTGATAAACCTGAGTCACCGGTTGGAACTCAAGCTGCTTTTCCTAGGTTGGCTGAAAATAAGCTTTCCTGAGTGGCTGTAGCTGCCATGCAGCATAGTAGTAAGACCGCCTGTTTTGAAGCCACTCAGCCTGGCTTGGAATCACAGCTGTATCTGTGTGATATTGCGCAAAGTCCTTAACTTCTTTGTGCCTATTTCCTCACCTAAAATGGAATAACAATATTATCTACCTCATAGAGCTGCTGTGAAGATTAAGTGAATTAGTGCATGTTAACTGCCTAGAACAATGCCTGAAACAGTACACACTCCCTAAATGGTAGCCATCATTGTATTGTATTGGCCAAAAGCTTCCTTCGGATTTTTCTGCAAGATGTTACGAAAAACCTGAAGGAAATTTTAGCCAACCCAGTAGATTACTACTGCCATTGCAAACCTCTGCCTTAATTAGAGAATGGCCTTTCAGAAAGGCTTGTTTGCTTCTTGTAAGAATCCTGATGTTTGTGTGTCCCTACAATGTGTAAAGAACTGTCAA